AGCTACTTGGGAGGCGGAGGCAAGAGACTTGCTTGAGCCCAGGAGTTGGAGGTTGCTGTGAGCTGTAATGCCACGGCACTCTACCCAGGGGAATAGCTTGAGGCTCTGTCTCAAAAAAAAAAAAAAAATGAGATTCTTAACCTAATAACAACCTAAGGATATGGGGAGGGTGGAGGGAGGGGGAGAGGGTGGAGGGAGAGGGATTTGAAGGTTCACTTCTGTGGTTCATCTTGCAAGGGTACAAGTGAATCTTTCTATGAGTAGAATGGGAATGTTTTGACATAATAACTAACTAAGAAAGTTACATGAAGGCTATGTTAACCAGTTTGATGGAAGTGTCTTGGATTGTGTGTGAAAACACCACACTGTACCCCCAAAGTGCATCAATGTACACTGTTACCATTCAATTAAAAAAAAGAATAAGATTCTTTCTTCTCTGTAGGGAAGGCACCTAACACAGAATCTGGGACATAGTATTTATTTAGTAAATATTTGCTGACTGGCAGTTATTAAATACTGCATATAAAAGGATACATTTAGGCCAGGCGCGGTGGCTCATGCCTGTAATCCTAGCACTCAGGGTGGCCAAAGTGTGTGGATTGCCTGAGCTCAGGAGTTTGAGACCAGCCTGAGCTAGAGTGACACCCCCCCACCCCAAATAGCCAGGCCTTGTGGCCAGCATCTGTAGTCCCAGCTACACTGGAGGCTGAGGCAAGAGGATCACTTGAGCCCAAGAGAAAAAGAAAATATGTTTGAAAAAGATTGGAGGAAGATACAGCAAAACAATTAGTGATTATGTTAGGGTAAAGGGAATGTGAGTGATTAAAATATTTACCGTTTTCTACTATTTATTTGGTGGCATTAAATTTATAATCAAAATAATTATCTAAATTCATGCATACCCTTTCTGTCCATTTCTAGGTGTCCTAATGTATTATACTTACAGTTTAACAGATTTTGAGACTCGATCACTTATTTGCCCTCATTCTTTCACTCGTACACCTTTCAGGCAGCCTTGACCCCTTTCTTTTCTTTCTGTACCTAATATCAAATCTATCAGGAAATCTTGTTGGTTCTGCCCTTAGGACATATCTGGAATCTTATCATTTCTTACCGCCTTTACTGTTACTGTTCTGGCCCAAGTCTCTCACCTGGATTTTTTTTTTTTTTTTTTTTTTTTTTGAGAGAGAGGGCCCCAAGCTGTTGCCCTGAGTGGAGTACCTTGGTGTCACAGCTCATAGCAACCTCCAACTCCTGGGCTTAAACGATTCTCTTGCCTCGGCCTCCCAAGTAGCTGGGAGTACAGGCACCCGCCACAACACCTGGCTATTTTTTGGTTGCAGTTGTCATTGTTGTTTGGCAGGCCTGAGCCAGATTCGAACCTGTAAGCTCCACTGTTTGTGACTGGTGCCCTAGCCTCCTGAGCTACAGGCACCAAGCTTTGTCTCGGTTTTTCTATTTTTTATACAGACAGGGTCTCATTTTTTGCTCAGTCTGGTCTTGAACTCATGAGCTCAAACAATCCACCCCTCTCAATCTCCCAGAGAGCTGGGATTACGGGCATGTGCCACTGTACCAGGCCGCTCACTTGGAATATTGCAGTATCCTCCTATCTGTTAGTCCCTGCTCAACCTTTTTCCTGGAGTATATTCTCAAGACTTAATAGACAAGGAAATACAAGCAGACCATTTCACCTCACTGCTTGGAACAACCCTTGAGTGGCTTCTCATCTCATTCACAGTAAAAGCCAGAATCCTTAAAGTAGTCTCTAGGGCCATTTTGGAATCTGTCCCTCACTCTCAAACTCACGCCTGTCTGATCTGATATCTTACTCTTCTGTGCTTGCTGTCATCTCTGCCTAAAACTCTTCCTGGAGAGATTCACAAGGCCGGTTTGCCCCCATCCGTCAGGTGTCTTCCCAGATGTCCCCTGTATCACCGAGGCAAGCCTTCCCAAACCCCTTCACCCTACTTTCCCCACCCGTATTCTCAGCACTTCTCAAGTCTCTTCCCTAGTTTATTTTTTCATCTATTATTTTAAGCACCATTTTACTTATATATTTTACCAAATATATACACAAACTTATGTAGCTTCCCTAATACAAATAGCTCTATGGAGTCAGGAATTTTTGTCTATTTTGTTTCTTGCTATATGACCTTAACACCTAAAATAGTGTCTAGCACATAGTATTAATAAATACTAAGTACAATATTTATTGAATATACACGTATATTATTGTTTCATGTAAGTTAAGTCTTAGTCCCAAAGCTAGTTTGAAAGCTCATGTATTGGTTCATATGCCTTCTATTCCCCAACTTTAGCCCTCTCTAAGCTATGGAAGGGCACAGAATTGATAAGGAAACAGTATCTCTTGTATCAGATTAACTCTGCCTCTCAGGCTAGGACTCTACTCAGAACTTGCAATAGACAGACTGTACAAGAAATACTCTATTACCTTGATCTAGATGGTTCCATGAGTATATGCATGTTAAAAATTTGTTAATCTTGGGTGGCACCGTAGCTCAGTGGGTAAGGCACCAGCCACATATACCAGCTGGCAGGTTCGAACCCAGCCCAGGCCAGCTAAAACATCAATGACAACTGCAACCAAAAAAAAAAAAAAATAGCTAGTCATTGTGGCAGGCACCTGTGGTCCCAGGTACTTGGGAGGCTGAGGCAAAAGAATTGCTTAAGCCCAAGAGTTGGAGGTTGCTGTGAGCTGTGACACCACTGCGCTCTTCCCAGTAACGTCAGTTTGAGACTCAGTCTCAAAAAAAAAAAAAAAATTGGGGGCGGCGCCTGTGGCTCAAAGAAGTAGGGTGCTGGTCCCATATGCTGGAGGTGGCGGGTTCAAACCCAGCCCCGGCCAAAAACTACAAAAAAAAAAAATTTTTTTTTTAATCTTGTACTTAAGATTAGTGTGCCTTTATGATATATGTATTATGCCTCAGGAAAAAAAATAGTCTGTTCTATGACTTCTCCAGAGGCAGTCAAACTTGCTAAATGACGCATAAAGAAGATCAGGACTGTGATCAGTAATAAGTCAGGGTTTACTATAAAATAGCTAAAAGAGTGGAATTGGAATGTTCCTAACACAAGAGAAATGTTAATTGCCACTGGTGATGGAAAATCCAATTATCCTTATTTGATTAATTCACATTGTATGCTTGGATCAAAACATCATAGGTATCCTACAAAGATAGAGTATATAACTATTATGTACTTATAATAATTAAAAATATATTTTTTAAAAAGATCAGGAAATTGGCGGTGCTCGTAGCTCAGTGGGTAGGGCGCCAGCCACATATACCGAGGCTGGCGGGTTCGACCCTGGCCCAGGCCAGCTAAAACAACAATGACAACTGCAAAACCAACAACAAAAAATAGCTGGGCATTGTGGTGGCCACTGTGGTCCCAGCTACTTGGGAGGCTGAGGCAGGAGAATCACGTAAGCCCAAGAGTTTGAGGTTGCTGTGAGCTATGATGGCATAGCACTCTACTGAGGGTGACAAAGTGAGACTCTATCTCAAAAAAAAAAAAAAAGAAAGTAAATTAATTTTTATTTATTTTATCTTTTGTAGAGATTTTAGTAGCAGAATATCACAAGAAAATCAAAGACGCATTTGAAGTGTTTGACCATGAAACGAATAATACAGTGGATGTGAGGTTTGGAAATATTTTTTTTAATTATAATTCTAAATTACTAATGCAACTCATAAAATGGAAGAGGGCTTTTTTCCCTCTTATTCTTGTACTGTATTTTGGATTATTATGTTTTGTAGAGTATTTATTTTCCTGAGCCCTAGAAGAGTCTTTACTAACTATTGTTTCAGATAAATACTATTTCTTGTTCTTCATAGTCTTATGGAAAGAATATACTATATTGTACTGCCCATTCCAACCTATAGATTATGAACTCTATGAGTGAGATGATTTTTGTACTTGGCACATACTTGGAACTCAGTAAATATTTGTTGAGTGAATGAATAGAACTTGCATTTAAAAAATATATAAATATATATTATTGAGTCATGGATGAGATATTACAAAGTGTGATTAATATCCCAATGGTACAGTAAAATAGCAAAAACAGCCCAAACAGAAGAACATAAAAAGATGAGAATACTGGTAGATCTGGAATGGAGTATAAGAGATAAAGAATAGCTTGAGACTCAAAAAAAAAAAAAGGTAGACATGAGTAGAGTCTATAGGAATTGTAGGATCTTTGCTACACATATCAAAGAAAAGGAACCCAACCATTCTTCTAGGAGTCTAGGCTAAATGAAGATTATTTGGTAGGATTACAGTCTATAAAGACTCAGAGTTTACTATGGAGGTCAGCAAAGCATTGGGAAATGATTTTAGAATGGTTCTCAATGCTCAGGTGTGGTGACACATGCTAATCAGGAGGCTGAGACAGGAGGATCACTTCAGCCCAGGAATTTGAGGCCAGCCTGGGCAATATAGCGAGACTCCATCTCTAAAAGAAAAGAAGGAAATGGTAGTGGAAAGGAATTGTTTGATGCTCATAAATCAGTACCATCACTTCAAGACTAATCAGGGGACTAAATGCCTTAAACTTGAACTAAACTGAATGAAAACATGAGACCTCATTTATAAGTTGTAACTATATGTATTCCTCAGTTATTTATATGTGAAAGGATAAGACTGATAATTAGTTTCATTGCCTTATAGTAGCGCCTTATAAAGTTTTGTTTTATACTTCAACTCTGTTTATGGGCCTTACTACAGTAGTTAAGGAGGAGAATTGAGTTCATCTTTTCAGCACCTTGCCTGTAGTAGGCCTTATGTGAACCTTGGTTTGGCCATTCCTAAGGAGAAGCGAGAGTACTGTGCAGGGCTGCAGCAGACGCAAAGCTCCACGTGGCTGTGGTCACATCGCATTCTATAAGAACGCCACTCTGCGGAGCATTGGACCTCACTGTATCCAGCAGGAAAATGAGCAGGTGGGGTGGTGGTGGAGGTGATCAGGGTTGGGAGGGTGTGCAGAGCAGGCAGTTCTGGCCTGCAGTTTGAATGACTAAGTCTATGTATGGCAAGTGCCTTGACCTCACACTTACTACTGAAGGGTTCTCCTCCTGGGAGCTGGGCAGAGGGGTATTACCAGAGAAGCCAGAGACAGTACTGCTTTATGAGACAGGGAACCAGCATTTACTTAGGGCTCGCTGACAGACTACCTGCGGTTGGGTGCTGGGGGCCTGTGTGCATCACCTCATCTTAATCTTTTTATTTGTGTAGCAATGGTTGGCAGTTCCAGTTTTTGGAGACTGCCAGTTAAATAGTTTGCTCCATATATCCTATCATGGTTTTTCTAATGCTAAGTCTCCGGCTGTACTGCTTTACCTGCCCTGCCCACCCTTACCCTTCAAGGACCTCATGGGCTTATCTTCTGCCTTTAGGCTTCTGACAGTAGCAGTGAAATGGAAGTCTCCCAAATCCTCCAGCGCAGTGGGGCCAGGCCTCTTTTTGGTTCACGGGCCAATTCAGGAAAATAAACATGCCTATGGGCTGCATCTTTTTTTATTCAAAATTAAAATAACTTTACTGCGGCCCTGGAGGAAAATGTATGTTCTTAAAACTTCAATGGTATAGTTTATTAAATAAAGATGGTTACTAAGGAAATTAGCATTAAAATATCGATGCTAGGCATATCTGAGGAGTAGGAATGTGGATGAATGTGGTTTTTAATTTCTGTCCTGTATATTAATTTTTATAGCACTTTAAAGTTTATGATAAGTGTTTTCAAGCTGCTGGTATCATTACTGTACACTCTTTCTTTTTTAAAAAAATTTTTTTTTTTTTGAGACAGAGTCTCACTTTGTCACCCTTGGTAGAGTCCTGTGGTGTCATAGCTCACAGCAACCTCTAACTTCTGTGCTTAAGCGATTCTCTTACCTCAGCCTCCCAAGTAACTGGGACTACAGGTGCCTGCCACAATGCTCTGGCTCAGGCTAGTGTCGAACCTGTGAGCTCAGGTGATCCATGATCAGCTCCCAAGTGCTGGGATTATAGGCGTGAGCCACCATGCCCGGCAACTGTCCACTCTTTCTGAACTGGAAATTAAGGACAGAGTAGTGAAGACTTGCCCAATATTGTGTAGTAGGTTAGCAGCATAGCAAAGTTATAACTCAAATTAGTTTCTTTTTTTTTTTTTGAGACAGAGTCGCCCTCAGTAGGGCGCTATGGCATCACAGCTCACAGCAATCTGAAACTCTTTGGCTTAAGTGATTATCTTGCTTTAGCCTCCCAAGTAGCTGGGACTATAGACACCTGCCACAATCCCTGGCTATTTTTTTGTTGCAGTTGTCATTGTTGTTTAGCAGGCCCAGGCTGGGTTCAAACCCATCAGCCTGGGTGTATGTGGCTGGCACTCTACCCACTGAGCTACAGGCGTCACCCTCAAATTGTTTTCTTCTTTGGGGCATTCTGTGTACTTGCCCCAGGGGAGGTTCTGGAAAGGAGATGGGTAAGGTCTGGTCCTGCCTTTCCCAGCCTCAACTCTGTCTCTGTTTGTAAAAGTGGTTATTCTACCTGGAATTTATTTTAACTTATGATTAAAAGTGACGATCTACATGGACTTTT